GTCTTGCTCCTGTGACTGCGTGTGTTATACACACAGTCACAGGAGCAAGATATTGACACTAGAGTAGGGAACATGTATAGTATGTCACTTTCCATACTGTTTCCCCAGAGCTCTAATTTTCTCATGAATGCCTTCACTTTGTCATTCCAAGATAGTACAGTTGCCTCATTCCCTTGAAGTGAAGTGTTGAGGATATTTAGTTTCTCAAATATATGTGAGGTAAGCCATTTTCAATAAAAAATCCTTGTTGCTGAAACTGTCTGCCAGTGAGTGATTTTCCCCATCTAAAAAACAGAACACCTCATGCCTCAGCTTAAACATTCTCTTTAATACCTTGCCTCTTGAAAGCCATCGAGCATCACTAAAAACAACAGAGCAGTGTGTTCGCACCCATTTCCTGACACAGCATTTTAAAAAGTCTAGACTTCAGAGGATTTCAGAGGATGCGGCTGCTGCCGAACTATCAACGCTGTCTGGCATACGCGTTTTCTAATTGCCGGTAAAGAGAATAATTATTAGTTATTTTGAAATTCATGATAATTAAAGCCTGTACTCATCAAAAGTTTTTCTATATGTATTTTTTGTTACTTTTCTAATTGATTTAGGGCAGTTTTAATTTTCATCTGTAGGAAAGTAGGCTGCGCCCCCCCCCTGGCGGTCGCGCCCCACAGTTTGATAACCACTGGCATATGCTATTAATGGGTATTTATGTGTTTTAAAATTATGTGTATATTTTCCCTCAGGAATGCTTGTTTTGGATTTAGAAATGTATAAACTTTGGAAACCCTGATATATAACTTTACATTGTTTACATTATATTGCTACAGGAACTGAGAATGGTGGGGGGGGGGGCATACAGGCTTGTGCATTACTCTCATTCACTGAAGGTTGCACACCTCCAACTCTTCTCAGCTCTTCAAGAATCATGCAGTGCCTAGTCTGATTTTGAAGTCACAGGACCATTCTAGAGATATTACATGCATAAAACAGTGGCTGCCAGCTTCGAGTTGAGTAGCCTGAATGTAATTCTGAGCACAGAAGCAGTGTGCAGCAGCGACGTATGGAGCACACAGTGTGCTGTGCAAGATGCAGGGAGAAGTCAGAGCAGAGGTAAAAGTAACAACAATTTCATCACAATCTTATACACTTAAATTCACAGAATGTCTTATACAATAACATTTTCATGACTCCTGGTGTGGGCATTTAAATTCTCAGCTGCTATGCATCAGGGTGGCCTTTAAAACCCATGCTATGACTGTTTTGACCCACCATTTTCTTGGAACTTAAAATTTGAAAACATACATAAACTGGATATCAACTGTAAATAACTACCACAGGCTGACCAAATGGTATATAAAGGTAACCCTCTGTGAAGGTAAAGTTGTCCCTGTGCTCAAGTAATTAAGCACAACACCATGAGGGGAGTGGATGTATAGATCCATGTTTCCTTGACCTCAGCACTACTTGGAGTTGAGTGATCAGCTTCACGTCCGAGCCGCTTTATCCCCGGGGAAAGAGCCCATTGTACCCATTGGATAGGAGGGTAAGTGGGGCCCAGAACTGGTCTGGATGACACGGAGAAGAGACATTCTTTCACTTATGGGCACTCGAACCCCTCGGTGGTCCTGTTAATAGCCAGTTGCTATACTGAGTGAGCTACCTGTGAATAAGTGAAAATGAAATGCCTGAGATAATAAAAAGCCTATGACCAACACATATTTTTGACGAGCACTAAATGCGTTACCACTCTATAGAACAAGCCAAACCTTTAGGTCAGGCATAATAGAGTCAAAATGAAGTTAAAATTCTCATAGTACTTTACATTTTCATTTCACTAACACAAATTTAAGAAAATGTAGTGATTTTATTATCAGCCTTAAGAGACCCTGTTTGCAAAATTCTGAACATCTGAATGATCAATGAGGTCTTGGAAACTTGAAGTTTCAACTGCATACTGTTGGTAAAAGTTTGACAATAATCAAGGCAGTTCAGCATTTCCTTGTTACAACTTGGGCCTCTTCTGTGTGAAACTCCAGCAGCAAATAGGACAGATTAAGGTTAATCACCAGTATGGATATGTGTGTGTGTGTGTATATCGTGTGCGGCTGCCTGAAAGCTGGACTATAACACATCCATCACTATGCAATGGACAATGAGAAAGCAATGCTTAGGAAATCATTGCCCTGGAGATGAAAGTTTCCTATTCAACATGAGTGCAGGATATAACAGTCCAACTTTGGCAAGAGATTGGTCAGTTGATATCCGATGAGAGCTAAGAACAGTTGAGTTCCGAGTAGAGCAGAAGAAATTTCAAAAACATTAGCAGTGCGAGAGTGTATAACACCGAAGAGGAAATGTCAGAAGACTTTATAAGTGTGAATAATTGTATTTGTGCTTGTAAAGAGTGAGTGTCCAATAAATATTCTTCCAAATCCGAGACCCACGTAAATTTTCTTGTCACATTGGTTAAGAAACATGCGACAATATATATCTGCATGCCCTTACAACACCTGAACCTTATATCAAATTGTGAACATGGAAAGGCTTGGTTGTCCTCATGAATGAGTTCATGCTGTTATAGGTTGGAACTGCAGTTGTAAGGAACATTGCAGTAGAAACAGCTAGACTACCCTGTATAAAGAATGCTGTCTTCTGGGATGTGGCACTGTGTAGATCTTGTCTGAACCAACGTTTGAGAGGAAAGTATCACCTCCATTGATACATTCCTCTGATATTTTGGTTCAAGCAAAATTTACATAGTGCCACAATCCAGAAGACAGGATTCTTCATAATCACCGCTGTGAGAACGTCAAATCTTATATGCCCTGTATTTTTCAGACGAATTGGTGCTTAAACCTTTTCATATCATCCTTATTTGCCTATGAAGGAGAGCTTGTAAATAAATGTTACCCATTCCTTCACACGGTGCATGAAAAATTATTGATACATGATACAAACTCCGACATCAGTGCAACCATATATTATAGGTCTTTTGTTTTGCTCTCCCTTACACACTACATGTTTTGGCCACAAACAGCCATCATCATGTGTATTACTCACTTATCTGACACACTGCACTTAGTTTAACACTTAAAATTTAAAAGCACAGGTCTTCTTGATTGCTCTTTCCATTGTTATTACCAAAATTTACACACGTCAGTTTTGATTTCTCTGATTAGCACTTACAAAATCTTCAATTCTAATTTTAAAAACTTTTTCAATTTTCCTTTAAATTTAAAATTTAAAAATTTAAAAATGTCAGGGTTTCTCGCCCTATGTCTATAGTGCTGCAGCGGTTACTTCTTGTTTCTAGTACTGTACCGGTGTTATCTGTAATATACAAATATTTGTATTATTATCTTATGTATGTAATGTTTTCTTATGTGTTTATACTGTTATTTGTACTTACTCTGTGTAATTTCTCTGTGTGCATGCCACTGCTATTCTTTACTATGTGTGCTGTGTTTCATGTTGGTGAGTGTAGGAAGGGATTGAGTATTGGGGAGAGGGAGGTACTGTTATTCTGTATAGATTTTGTGTATCATTTGAAATATGGGATTGTGTGTTTCTATGTGTGTGTCATTCATGTGTAGGCCTTTCTTACTTATCTTATATATATGGTATTTCTCTAATGTGTTCAAATGTCTGCCCTTCTTTCCTGTTGTTACAACTTCCATTACCTCTGTTATTGTTCCATATCCATGTCCTGTATGTAGTATGTGATTTGAGTACCCAGAATTGCTATTATTATTATTTCTAATATCATGTATATGTTCTTTATATCTGGTGTTAAATGTTCTGCCTGTTTGCCCAGTGTATTTCAATGGGCAATCTACACATTTCATTTGGTATATGCCACTTTTATTGTATTTATCTAATTGTGGTTTTTGTTTGAGTATATGTTCTATTGTGTTTCGTGTGCGGAATGCTACTTTTATCTGTGTGTCTTTGAAGAGTTTTGTAATTTTTCTCACTTCTTTTGTGCTATATGTAAATGTGGCCCACTTTCTTTTTTGTTGTTCGTCATCATGTGTGTTTGATTTTTGTTTTTGTTTTGTCTGATCTGGTCTTTTGATTATGTTTGTGTCATATCCATTGTTATGTAGTATGTTTTAATAGTGTTCTTCTCTATTTGTTTTCCTTTTTCTGTTATTGGGTATGTGTAGAGTCTATTTATTAGGTAATTTTTAAATTTTAAATTTAGAGGAAAATTGAAAAAGTTTTTAAAATTAGAACTGAAGATTTTATAAGTGCTAATCAGAGAAATCAAAATTGACGTGTGTAAATTTTGGTAATAACGACGAAAAGAGCAATCAAGAAGACCCGTGTTTTTAAATTTTAAATGTTAAACTAAGTGCAGTGTGACACATACGTGACTAATACACCTAATCATGGCCGTTTGTGGCCGAAACATGTAGTGTAGCATGTAACATGTAGCAAAACGAAAGACCTATAATATATGGTTGCACTGAAGACGGAGTTTGTATCATGTATCGTATGGAGTGCAACAGGATGCTTAAATATAATATTGTAAAAATTACTGAATTTAAATTAAGAACTTTCATGCTGGTGTCAAAAACATTCTTCACTTCTGAGGTGTTACTTTTCCGCCAGTGCTTCTCAGTGGATGGTAAACTCCATTTCACACTAGGTGCCACTTAACACTTGCAAGCTACTAATGTTTTACTCAAATATCTTTAAGCTGCTATTTCGAAGCGTTATTTGTTACCCCTTTTACAATTCAGAGTTATTGTTTTATTTTTGTATTAGAGTATGTGAAAGAACATTTTCTTTACGATTTGAGGTTCTCACAGACCTCATGGCGTTGACTACGATAACTAATGCGTGTGATAAATATCCATGATACATACTGTCGCATGCTTTCAAGGCTTTCAAGGCTGTGAAGATGGTCAAGATCGGTTAAGATATGTGATTTAATTGGTTTGGCTATTACGGGCAGTAATCGGAAAACAACGAATACTTGATGTCGATCTCAAGAAGGCTACGGTAGAAGCAAATGGCGGATGATGGTTGTGTTTTGAACATATGAACGCATATGAAGTCGTTACGGTCTGTACTGATGCAGACCTTGCATTTGTCATTTCAGGAAGATTAAACGACTGCAGTTGTGCTACAGTAATCTAGTTTCAAGTAACACTGAATGAATACCAGTAAGTACATTTAATAGAAGTGAAAAGTTTGAGGGAATATGCATTATATGCACTTTGATCCTGTGAATAACTGTACGAATAGGTTTGAAGAATGCGTGTTGTGTAAGTTGAAAAGTTTTATTTTCTTTGTAGTAGTTTTTTCAGGATAGCAACCAATTTGGAAAACTTCGATATTATTTGTGCTGTAAACAAGGAACTACTTGTCATGTTGACTTTAATTTGCGAAATTACACATTTTCCCGTTAAACCTTTGGCAGTTTATTGGATTTGTTGGAATAGAACAAGCCTTACTGTAGGTTGTGACATGCAATTAAATGTTTGCTTCTGTTTTATGCCATTAAATGTATAGTTTGTTAGTGAATTTGTTGTGGCCTCATTGAAAGTATAGTATGAACTACATGTGTTTGAAAATAAAGTATTGTAGAGGTAGTGGTTGAAGGGCTATGGTAGTCTGGGTATGGGGGAGGAGGTGGGAAATGGTCACTTGAAAGACCAGGAAGGAGATTGGAGGTTAACATTAAGATGAATCTAGAGGTTTTGAAGATGGGGAGGTAAATGGAACTGGCTCAGAATCATGTTCACTAGAGGGTTGGTATATTAGTGTAATTAAGACTTCAGGCTCTGCTAGTGGAGTGTTAGTGAATAAAATCAGATTTTTTTGTAATGGCTGTTACAACGTAATACATACACTGTAGTGATGAGTTAATTCTAACTGCTACCTGAACTTACAGAATAATGCATGTCGTTGCTTGTGTGAGCATTTCTTCTTTAGGATTAACAGAAGTTATGGACATTAATAACATATTGTGAGACCTCATTCATGTTAAGTAGTATAATGACACATTAAAATAATGTAATTACAAAATTACTTTTAATTTCATGAAGTTACGTTTCTTAACCGTTCAGCGTGGTTTGACGTGTATGTTTCGTCAGGGATTTAAATCGTCTGGGGGGGTTCGACGTCTATGTTTCGTCCAGCTGCACACCTATGTTATAACGCCCATAATAATTGATGGTTTTGCTGTAGATTGTTAGATTTTTCGCTGGCCTGTTGTCAGGACAACAACGAGAACAACGACACGAGTTTAGCTGCGCTAAGTCATCGTTACATATGCCTGTCTTGCAGCAAATTCCTGTTGCTTCTGGTAGAGGTTTCCTCGTTCAAACTGTTATGAATGGCGTGTTTTCTTTCCTATGAAGTTATAAACAGCAGAGACGTGATATGTGCTGTGTTTATAATATCATATTGCCCTGAGCTGGCCACACTAACACACTCAATTGGAATTCTTAGAAGAGGGATGTCCAAATTTTATTCTTGCAAGATCGATTGATTTCGCACAGTACATGGCAGCCAGTTCTTAGAAAAACGCCACAAATTAAGGCAGAACACTGTGGTCACCCCCTGTGACGATACGGGTGTGTGTGGGGGAGGGAAAAGAACTCATTCCTTCATGTATTATCGCTCCAGTTGACTCCATTTTATCGTACTGACCTTGGTGGTCGTTTCGAGGGATGACCATAAATATTTTTTTGAGCCAGCTAAGCTCTGCTTTCGTTCACTACATACCAGCCAGTTCTTAGAATAACTTCATGAATTCTGTGGTCACCCCTACGACGTCTTATGCCGCCAAAATGGATGGAAAATGAAACGCAGAAGCACCAACACTTGTTATGATAACATAAAGGTTGAATTTACTGCAGCTAATCTGGCTAGCGATATGACTCACGGAGAGACATTTCTTCTTGTATTCCCCCCACGGGGAAGAAGGCAAGGCCGCACAGAAGATGTTTGGTTTACGGAAAAAAGAGCCAAATGAGAGATACGCAGTACTGGTGTGGTGAATGTGAGACAGCGCTGTGTATAGTAGAATGCTTCAATGCGTACCACACTCCGCTCAAATTCTGAACCACCTGCTTCCTTTGCCGAGATACCGGGCGCTCTTATTATAAGGCAAGGTTATAAAACCATCTTTTAAGATCATTTTAGTGAAAGTTTCATGCTTCAAGGCGTACGATACACTGCTCAAATTCTAAACCAACTGCTTCCATTGCCGAGATACCGGGCGCTCATATTATAAAGCAAGGTTATAAAACCACCTTTTAAGATCATTTTAGTGAAAGTTTCATGTTCCTATCTCATATAATTTAAGAACAATGATGAATAAATCATTTTCGAGCAAAATTTAAATGGACGGCTGAATATATTACCGCCGGAGAGACACGGCAGCGGAATTTAAATGACCGTGCAAAAGGGTTAAGCAGACCGCTGTTTGCTGCATATAGACCTTCCACACTAATCAGATGCTAGATAATAAAAGAACTGTATTCTAATGTTGTGGTTTGGATTAGGTACTTTGAGTCATAAAATTTATGGTAGGTATAGAGATAGTTATCATTTCATGCATCCTGTTGTGTTACAATATACAACTTCTTTATTAACCGTCACAACACAACAGATGTCAAGAACATTGCCCAGCTACGGCTCTGCTACATGTTTCGGCTATCAATAGCCATCATCAGGCAAATACATGGTTAACATATATACACCACTGAACTGCAGTACTATTAAACTGGATACAGTACTATTAATCGTGATGTGGGAACATCCCACATTATCATGCATTTCTGCAATGCTCGCTGATGTGGGAACATCCCACATTATCACACATTTCTGCAACGCTCGCTGTTCAGCTCCCTTTTCACCATCACGTTCGCTAACCAATCACATTGCTTCAAACGTTCGCATTTATACAGCGCTTGTGGCTAGCCCGCATCTACATCATTACGCGCGCTAGCCAATCAGCTCACAGCAAATTTTCGCTCCACCATCGAGCATCGTATAAAAGGAGTAGCTCCGACCGGCATCTTCAGTGCATGACCAATCTTCACTCAAGCAACATCCACCTGCCCACATTCAAGCCAGTGCTCGGTCTTTGGGAGTCTCCGGCTCTGCGCTGCACCAGGAATGGCCGCCTCGTCACTCCGCTGGCATGCCCGACTCAACTGGGCTGCCTCAGCTAGCCTGCGATCATGTCCGACTCACTGGGCGTCGGGCGTAGCTACCGCCTCATCACTCCTACGACCACACTCGCACTCAGGCAACTAACTCCGCAACATTAGTCAACACACTGCAGCTTCCGCCTCTCCACTCCAGCGCTCAGTCTTCGGAATCTTCGGCTCTGCTCTGCGCCAAGAATGGCTGCCTCGGCTGTCTGGCGGTCTCACACCCGACTCACTGGGCAACTCGGCTGCCTTGGACTCACTGGTGGTCATGCCCAACGCACTGGGCAACTGGCGTAGCTACCGCCTCACCACTCCAGCGACCGCGCTGTGCAAGCATACCTTTTCCTGATCGCTTCAACAGCTGAGCAACCATCTCCATGTGGGGGTGATGTGGGAGCTGCCCACATTCAAACAAGCGTGACAATGCAAGCTTCATTGCTTAGCAACGACCAGTAAACCGGTTGCTAGGCAAAGCCTACAACAATACTGACAGTGACATGTTACCAAAATGTTTAACCCTATATATGATGTAATAATTGATACAAAACATAATATACAGTTATACCCCCTTTCCCCCTACCTTTCCCCTACCTACCTCAGCAAACTAAATTTGCAAATGAACGATAATTATCGTTCATTTGCAAATTTAGTTTGCTGATTTCGTAAATGTGAAATCTTTCACATGTATCCAAGGTTCGGCCTTTCTTGCAGATATATAGAATNTATTTTGTCTATCGTACATATTCATGTGTGGTGTCCAATATATGTTGAGTAAATTTGGAGCTTTGTCCGTTATCTTTTATATCTCGTATGTATTCTCTGAATCTGACCTTAAAGGTACGTCCGGTCTGTCCTATATATTTTAATGGGCAGTCAGAACATTGTAGTTGGTAAACCCCACTAAGATTATACATGTCATTTTTGTCATAATTTATTTTCAACAGATGTGTTATATTGTTTTTTGTCTTATGTGAGATACCAACCTCAGTATTCTTGAAAAGTTTAGTAATAGATCTGATTTCATGGCCAGAATAAGTAAAGGGGGTCCATTTATTTTTCAGTTTAGTATTTTTTGTGGAGGGTTTTTGTGTTAGTTGTATGGTATTTAGTGGGCCACCACCTCAAAAGTTGGCACTAAACTTCGCCGACAAGCAGCAGTCGCTTGATCCATATAGTTCACTTGCGGCCTAAAATCACTGAATTTGTTTGTTTGTATTTTGTGTAAAGACGTAAAACGTGAAATATGTTGTGACTAGATGGCTGAAAAGCCAGAATAGTTTAACAAGAATCGTCATCCATTACTAGGCAACGGCCCTTAAACATGTTTAAGTGGCAACCTGAATGTGCTTCCGCAGCAAGAAATAAACACAACAACAGAGAAATCATAGAAAAGACAAAAATCTTGGTCACAGATCTCGAGACATGAAGCCAAGAATGGCTGCTGAATATTCATCTTAAAGACCCTGTTTCCACAAAAACTGTCTGACATGAGCAACACAGATCCAGCATCCATGGTAGGTCTGTAATTGTGGAACCTCTGATTACTGAAATTAATGCTCAGATGTGTAAATGATGGTGTCATAACCATAAAACCTGGAAATGCACAAATGGTATGGTCATATGAGTTGTTCTTCACACTCTTCCCTACATCCATCAGGAATTGTGTACATTTGGAGAACACACAAGGAAGCCTACAACCTGGAATACCTGGTTCCAACAGTGAAACACTGGAGGCTCTGTGATGGTTTTGGTAGCAATATCATGGTACAGTATTCTGTTACTAACCTTCATTGCAGAATTATTGCAAGGGAGTACATGGAGAGCTTGTGTAATCAGGTGCACCCCATGATTCGGAACAAGGATGCAGTCTTGCAACAAGACATTGCCCCCATTCACACATCTTGAACTGTTCACTCACACTTTGAAGATCATGAAGGTGAACTTCAACATCTTCCCTGGCCAGAACAATCACTAGATTTCAACTTCTGTGAACCACT